GGGGCCGTTCTTGCCCCTGTGGGGATGATGTTCCACAGGGAGGGAGCCACCACAGAGAAGGCCCTTCTTCTTGGTCCCACTAGATGGACCTCCTTAATGGGCGGGACCCATAACACGCCCTGCCTCCCCAGTTTGATGGGTCGGGCAGATGAAATTGGGAAAAGGCGGTCCTTCAAATAACCTGGCCCCAAGCCATGTAGGACTTTAAAGGTGATAACCAGCACCTTGAATTTTGACCTGGAAGCAAATCAGCAACCAGTGCAGCTCCTGCAAGAGAGGTGACACGTGTGCAAATCTAGGGCTGGACTAGTTTGGTCTGAGGCTGTTGGATGAGAAGAACTTAGTCTCATGAGTAACGTAGCTACAGATTAAACCCCTTTTCTGGGTTTGCTCCATATACTGAACCATAAACCTACCTGATTGCCTGGTTCACACAACACCCTAAGCCACAAAAAATCTAACCAGATCTGCGGTACCCCTAGATTAAGTAGGGTGTGTTCAAGTAGCTGAGGGATTGGACTTCAACTCACATCAGCTCCAGCCCCACCAGCTGAGCCTGCTGGGAACTGAAGGTGGCACATCTTCAGGAGACCAGGTTGATCCAGGCAAAGCCGGAGTTGGTCATGACCTGTAATTCTCTTTTCCGTTTATCCAGGAGATCTGTACACGGAAGCTGCTGAAGCTGCTATCCAAGCTATGAAAGGGAGACTAGCTAACCAGTACTATCAGAAAGCTGAAGAAGTTTGGGCCATGATGGAGGACTGAAAAGCTTCAAAAGACACTCTTTCCTTGTATATATCAATACAGAGACCCTTTTTTAATTTAAAAAGAAAAAAAAAACTTATTTTATCCAGAAGCTGGGTAGGGAAGCAGGGGAGAAACATGTCCCGTGGACGGATCTTCTTTTAAACGTACGATCTTTTTTCTTACTCGGTTCTGACTCAGAGCCCAAACAACCCGTATTTGTGGTAGACCTGAGTCCTGCAGTTCTGATTCCTCTTGATACTTTTTTGTACAATTGTCCGAGCCAGAAAAGTTGGTGTTTTGATTTGGAAGAAGTCAAAGATCCTCCGTGCCTGCGTTACAGCTTTATGATCGGTATGGTAGAAGGTTCATCTTTGGACGTCTCTCACTTGGCTGTTGGCCTCACTCTGCAGATTTTTTCTGTCGGGGGAATATATTTTGTTCTGGGTGTTTATTTGCTTATAATTCAAGAATGGATCCTCCCAAATTATTGAACGTTAAGATAGTGAGGGGGGAACAGTCTAAATGTCAGAAACATTTTCTTTTCTAGGCCTAGTTTTTAAAAAGCATACATATCTCTCTGTAATAGCTTCAGATGGCTTATCACTTTATACAGTTCATTATCTGGGTCCTACAAATGGTGGTGCGTATAAACATCTAGACGTTACTAAAACAGCTTTGGATTATTTGTGCATCTCGTTCTAAAACTGGCCTGCACAGCAAAGCAAAAGTCAGTGCCTAAGCAAGCGTGGGTGCGTCCATTTTACAGATGAGGAATACTGAGGCTGAGAGAAATGCAATCAGCAGCAGGCAAGCTTGGCAAAGACTGGAAATCCTTGGCAATCTACTGCAAATTCCCCAGGAATCTGCTGGTCGATCCTGATTGACCTTCTGCCAGTCCCTGATCTAACCAGCTTTGACCCTCTTTTAAGCAACTAGCTGCTCATTAAAGACACTGTGAGTTTTGCAGCTGAATCTGTTCTCCCATCTCTTCCCCCTCCTTTAAATAACAGTGGAATGGGGATTCTTCCCTACGGCCCAGAAAGCAGGGCATGAAGATTCAGGTCAAATGTTGCGGCACGTGGGGTTGCTCTCTTGGAGAACTGCAACCTTTTAGGGAAATTATTTTGAAAGTGCTGCGTCTCCTTCCATGTGCAGAGATGGCAAAAGCTTTTTTTAGTGATAAAAAAAAAGAATCCAATACTATTTTTTGCTCATCCTGAGTGGAATGGACTGATGTATGAACGGAAACAAATTCAGCTCAAGACATCTTACTGTTTCGTTTTTCTTTTAAAGTAGTGGTAGCATTTATCTTTTTCTGGATGATGCTGTGTTCCTCGGCTGCAGCTTAAAGATTATTTGCTTGAGTGCAATTTCACATTGATTTTCTTGATCGTTTGTTTGCATGACCAAGCTGGAATTCTGATAGGATGAAGTTCGTGTTTCCAAATACATCTTAGATACAGTCCTGGAATTAATTTTTCAAAGGTCGGTATGAATGCCCTTGTAATAAATAAGAATAGTTTTGCAGAGCGAGGCTGGTGGAAATGAAAAATGGACGTATCCAGAGGCACCCAGGGAGGTCAGATGAAAAAAGCAGCGTTACACTATTGTGATAGCTCCACCCCTTTGTATGTGCATTTCACGCATGTACAAAAGGGCCCAAACTTGTGACGGTAGGAGGCTTTGGGCATTTTGTTGAAGCATCAGATCCTGCAGATGCCTCAAATTCTTCTGAGACAGAGCTTTTCTGTATTTAACTGGAAATGAAATTTAAGTGGAAGTTCAGCCTGAGATTTCATAAGTGCTAGACTACCCAACAATAGCCTCCTTTGAACCCAAAATCTTTCCATAGTATTGACTTGAGCATCAACATTTTTGCAGTTTTCAGCTTCTGGCTCAGAAGCGTTGCCAACTGATTTGGCTGCTCTTCTGACAGGTGAGAGGTGTATGGTTAATTAAAGGTTTCCTTTTATTTTGTGTATATGTCTACTCTGCAACTTAACAGCAGGAATTAAATCTGTAAACTCTGCTGCCCTGCAGAGAACAATAAGGAACAGTTAAAGTCCTCATTATTATGCCACCAACTGTATGGAATACATTATAATAAAACAGCCAGTGAACAGGAAGCTTTTGAGTCAAAGTACAGTAGTCCTTAAAAGCAACAGCAGTGCTTTGGGCATACTTTCAACAGGTTATTTCAACAAGTGCACTCATTTTTTTAAAAAAACATATCTATAAAGTAAAGCTGATAGCATAAATACAACAGTTTAATGATGTCATTGTATATATGTCTAGCCCTTCACTTAACTGCCAAGAACTCTGAATAAAAATGGGCAATTTTAGAGCAGATGTTTATTGGAAATTGTCGAGGTTGCAATTTCACTTCCCTTTACTTGAAAATAAGCTCTGCTGAAGTCAGCGGAGTTCAGGAACGCTTAAGCTTGCACAGAATAGAGTTTGCCGTCTTTGGATGGCATTCTGCGAGATTGTAGGACTTCTTGTTTGTCTATGCAATTAATGGTTAACGTGTGCTTCTGAAACAGGATCGTTTTATCTGCTCACGTGAAGGATTGCTAGGGCATGTCCCTAGCCGCGTTCACATGGCCACGTTCTTGGAAAGCAGCAGATAACGTGTTTAACTTACATCTGAACTCCCGCATTTCAGCACCGTACATGGGAGCTCAAAAGGACTGATTTCTATCGATGCAGATTCCCTGTGGATAGGTCAACCATCGTCAGCCAGAACCCAAGAGTTCAAAGCTTTCTCTGCCGCGTCTTCATTCCTCCCCGCAGAAACTTTTCTGGTTTGGCCATAGAATTCTGCCTGTGATCCCTCCTCTGGATCCAAGATGGTAGAGGCCACATTTAATTTGCTAAACGAAAGAAGACTGCTTTCTCCAGTCTCATACAGACGGGGATCTGGAAGCTACCTGTCACCGATGAACCCACGCTTCCCGCAGCATGACTACTAGCGAAGGATGGAGTGAGCATTTTCTGAAAAACCACAGGTTTCCTGTTGCTGCTGCCAAGGATTTGCCTTTAAATCAGATTGTCAATTAATTCCATTTCCTTTTGCACCCTGTCTTTATATGCATGCTTCTTCTACCTCTCTGCCCAGCAAAAACATGGCAGATCTCATCACGAGCATCCCATTAGACTTGTCCTGGATTTTATTTACAAGCTTCTGCTAATTTCATTTGCTTTACAGATTGACAGATCTAAAGTAGCAATGAGTTTAATGTTTTGAGCAGTTCTACATGGTGGGTCTCTAGGACAGAGTTTCTCAACCGTGGCCACTTGAAGATGTGTGGACTTCAACTCCCAGAATTGGAGTTGGAGTCCACACGTCTTCAAGTGGCCAAGGTTGAGAAACCCTGCTCTAGGGTATAATGTTATAGTAAGGGTATAATGTTATAGTAAGAGATGGTAGCAAACATTGCGGCTAACGAGTTTGGAACTCATGGCAGATTGGCCGAGCCAGTTGCAAAGAGTTTTAAAAGCACTCGAGGTATTATGTTTACATTGCCCTGCAAAAAAATAAAATAAAATGCTGTGATACGTTTTCAATAAACTTTCTCAAGGATGAACCTTGGTCAAGTCTGCCTCTTTATTTGGGGATCTTCGTCTTCACGGATTTATTTATGTTCTTGAATATATTTGGGGTTAGATGATAGGGGTTTGGGAAATGTGAGATTTTATGGCAGACCTGAAGAGGTTACCTAGCCGGGTAACGAAACGTTTGCAAGAAAACAACCGAGCTCAGAGAACCCCAAGGACTCCACAGTGCTTAATGTATATAAAAAAGTTTAAGGAGACTCTTTTTTCCAAAGCAGAACAAAAGCATCATAATAATTCCTATCAATAAAATAAATTCTAGAATTTGTTTAGGCATCGTATCCTGTCGCAAAGGGCCTCCTCTGTTTTAACCTGGCACTTAACTCTGAACTCTTTGGGACAAAGCACCAAACACACACACATTTATAAAACTCTAATTTTCCTTTAACAACTTTTTTTAAAGATTTAGATTTTTGTTTAAAAATATGGAAAAGAAACCGCTCTCAAGAAAAGCAGAAGATGCAAGAAAATGCCAGGACCAGCAAACCCATTAGGCGCAACAGGCATAGGGCCTACGGGACACGGAAGGGCTTTAAATTTTCTAAACTGGAAAGAAGATAGATAGATGAAGTAGAAGCTGTTTATTTTCATGCCTTTTAATATACTTATTTTTGTGCCGGTGACTAAAAAACAGATGGCAGCTGCAACTGTAACTGTAACCATGCAAGTGGCCCACGAATAAAATGGGCAGGCCTTTGGTCCTGATTGTGGCCGCCACCCTGACTTTTTTGACACCCCCCCACAGATACCCTCGAGCAGAATAAAATGTGCCACTAAATCAGAGCAGATTTGAACCAATGCATCCTCCAGTGGCTAGAGTGACCAACCGCAGGCCTGTGGGAGCAACCAAATAGGAAGCTGCTCCTCTGCAACTAGCACTTAGAGGTACACTGCTTCTGACCAGGGAGGCTCGACGCCGCCCTCTTGGCTTAACAGCCCTCATCTAAGGCTCTGGCTTCAGCCTGCCTTCTCCAGCCGTCCCTACCGTATAGATCGCGTCGAGTTTGCAAGCCAACCACCGACCCACAATCTCTAGCAGGAGTTTGGCTTAAAGCTCCCATTCCAGTCAGAGGGATCGGGCCTGGGCGGTGCACGTGGTGCCAGCCGCCGACGTCACAATGGCCTTTGGAACGCGGCGGGGAAAGCGGAAGCCTCGCGTTCTGCCGAGCTTTTGATCCTGGTTATTTTTAGCCGCTGAGACGTTTGGGGCAGTTCCCCCCCCCGCCCCGAATATTTAGAAAAATAAAACTGGCCTTGGGGTCGTTCGCCGACTCCCGGGCAGATCCCGCGCGGGGATAATTTCACTTCACTCTTCTTTCTCTGGACTTTTCTAGGAGGTAAAAAAAGGCACACCTCCAGAATTGGGAAAAGGCACTTTTGCAGGGATGAGTAAGTCCCGCGGCCATGTTTTCCCCACCGAGGTAGCGTGGCCGAGCGGTCTAAGGCGCTGGATTAAGGCTCCAGTCTCTTCGGGGGCGTGGGTTCGAATCCCACCGCTGCCAGTCCGTTTTGCTCCCTTTTTAAAAAGCGGCTCCTTGCAAACGACGGCCGAGCGCCAGGCACAGGGATCCGGAGAGGTGGGGGGGGGGCCCGGGGGACAACCAAAACAGCGCCCC